ATTTAAACATCATTTTCCTTTCAGTTCCTCTGTCCCTCGCCTATATGTCTCCATCTATCTATCTACATGTGTCTATGTCTCCTCACCTCTTGTCTTCATATTTCTTCCTCTCTTTCTCCTTGTCTCTCTCTTTCCTTCACTCAGTTTGTCAAACCTCGTCTAATCATCTATGGCTTCTTACCCATATGCCTTCTCCTTTCTGTGTCCTTTCCAACAGAAATCTTTTTCTTCAGAAAATTCCTACTACCATCGCCTGGGCGAGCTGCGATCCGTCAATGGAGCATTGCGGTGTCACGGATTGCCGATAGAGGGCGCTCTGGTACCCCCTCATTTACACTGCACTTTGCGATGGATTTCTCTCTGGCTGCCCTACGCTTTGATCCTATTAAAATAATGAGAATTATAAAACATTGCTTCCGTCCCCTTTTCTTAATTTAACTTCATTTTTTTTAGAGAGGTAAATTATATTGTCTCCTATGCATCATATAGGCTTTGTCTTTATTTATTGGAATAACGAACGTTAAACCCAATGTTTTCTCCGCATTATCATTTTTCTTCCAGCACCAAGTAAGGTCAGTACAGGTATCCCGCTGTATGGAGGAGCCAAGGATATGTATCAATGACAGGAGAAATCAAACACCTTTGCATTGTATATATGAATTACATAAATGCTATAACGTTATGGCGTCAGACAATACTACACGAATCATGTCACGAAAAACTCTAAGTACCTGTAAATCCATACATATAAATTTCATGTGTGTCTGTATGCTCGATTGTACAGCCAACTTTTAGCAGAAGGTGTTGACTTTTCAAAGTGAATGTAAGTAAATAGGTTAACTTTGCATACAAAGAAATGTGAGAGGGAAATGTAAGAAATAAAGGATTTTTGATTGCACGATTAAAATGAACACAGCTTCACCTTATTTACTAAGCCCGGTGCACATTCACTTTCTCACCTCTTTAGTAAATCATCCCCAATATATTTATACACACACATAACCAAATAGATATGATTTACATATCCCGCAGGACATTGCAGAACTAATCAGTGTGTTATATCTATGCAGCATTTTATCTACTGTTACCAATGCGTTTCTATCATTCTTATGAAGGTGTGTGCAAATAATTGGGTCATATTTTTTATCATTGCGGGTTGATTTATACTAAAGACACTTTGCAAGAGATTTTGCACTTAGCAGAGGAAGTTTCCCCTTTGCTTGGTGAATAAGGTGAAGCTCTGCTGACTTCCATCATCCAATCATGTCTAAGCAAAAATACTGTTTTTTTTTATTTTTCTTTGCACATAATTGGGTATTCTTTGCAAAGTGAAATTTCACTGCATTCACTAAGCTAAGGGAACCTTCCCCTGCAACGTGCAAATTCTTTTGAAAAGTGAACTGCCTATTAGCCTTTAGTAAATCAACCCCTTAGAGTTTATATCATGAACATGAAGGTGTATATAAATAATTGGGTATTTTGAATGTTAGAGTTTATATCATGGATATGAAGGTGTATGTAAATGGTTGGGGCATACCTATATTTTCAATATTAGGGTTTATTTAATGAATGTGCAGGTGTATGTAAATAATTGGGTCATACCTATATTTTGAATGTTAGAGTTTATTTCATGAATGTGCAGGTGTATGTAAATAATTGGGTCATTCCTGTATTTTAAATGTTAGAGTTTATATCAGGAAAATGAAGGTGTGTGTAAATGATTGGGTAAGACCTTTATACTGCATTTTGTAGAAAAAAAGTAATGCAATAATATAAGTTGCCCAAAGCTATAATTGATACGATAATAGAATGTATACTAGCTATGCTTGCAGTGCAGTACACAAGGTGTATGGGAGTCTTGCTACTGTTACCCTATCAATAGACAGGTTCGCACAATGGCGTATTACACAATGACATTATATAATGTACAATCGTATATTAATCAGGCAGCCCTCATCTGCTTTCCCCCCATTTTTTTAATGAAGGTCGTGATCGCTCCCAGGTAATCCTAAACATCTTCTACTTTGGGAAGTGAACTTGTATTCATTTCTGTAGTTACAAGAAAGAGATAAATAGTACCCACCTGCCACCTGATCTGTGTAAACATCCTATCTGTCCTGTGTGTTATCTGATTATCATAAACCCCCAGCCTAGATACGTGGGAAAATGGCCTTCCTATCTGTTATTTGGATCAAAACATATCAGATTCTCTTCTGCAATACATGTACAGACTATTTTATTTTACTTTTTAAAGAGCTAATTTAGAAAAAAAAAAGAAAAGTTGGCCTTGCAAAGGTGAGTTCGCTTTAAACACACCTCAGAAGGGAAGTTTTTGTGCATATGTATTGTATGTTATAAAGAATGTGTATGTAATGCATGTCAAAAATGTTAAAGCTGGAAAAGTTATACTAACATTCACAAAAATAAAATGGGTTTACATTTTTCAGCTTTAACATTTTTTTCTGTTCTTCCTTTTTACTGTCTCTCCAGCAATAATAATAATTAAAAAAAAAAGTTAGCTAGTCTATATTCCCTGCCTGGTTCACACTGTATTTTAACAGGTGCCAAACAGCTGAATTATTTAGCACAAAATGTGACATAAGCTTTTTTTTTTCTTAAGATTCTTTTACTAGCAGCAAACCTTCATTTGCAATTCAAAGAACATATACAATCTAATGGTTTCCAGATGACAGGGCAGTTTTGAAAGCATCACATCAGAAAATGTAACTTTGTAAACCGTGAGGATGTAAAAATGGACGTTGAAGTTGGAGGGTCAGAAAAAGATCAGCTTGTATTATTTTACCAGGTCAGAAAAGAAAACTTCGCTGATGGCTGGGGCTTTTCAAGCTAAAAAAAAAAAGAAAAGGAAAATAGGACTAAATGGAGTAAATGATGGATAGGTGCTGCCATGGGTTTATGAAGGGCTTTAAAGATGGCAGTTGGTGTTGTTTTAGGATGAGTAGATTGAGACATTCCAGAAAAAAAAGAGAAGAGGGCTAGGGTTACACTAAACCGGAATGGGTGAGATGGACTGGGAAGGAATCTCTGCCTAGTCAGGATGACGGGAACCAATGAGATGTCACCAGTAGCTCCTACAGCCTGACCACCGAGATTGACGTGGAAGACGCGTCAAAGTGATTTGAGCAAACTGCAGCCAGATAACTGCACTAATTCCCCCTAATCTGAGGAAGATCACCTTTTGCTTTTGTTCTCCACACTTGTGAAGTTGCTGTGCAAACACTGAAGAGTTTGCAGCTTGGGAAGGAAGTGCCTCTCTGCTAGCAGAACCCTCCTCCTCATCCAGCCCATTGGAGAAGACTGGGCTCTCTTTCCCTTCCATGTATCTCTGGGTTACATCTGTTTGAGCTTCCTGATCTCTCTGCAAGTTTTCCTTCGTTCTCTCCTGGCGGGATGGGTAAGCAGCCTTTGACATCCCCTGCGTCTTATAGCAGCACCCTATACTATAAAGCATTTCCTTAGTAGTTTTGCCTTCACATTCCAGACCTCGCAGAGCTATAGAAACTGCAATAGACTGGCTTCAGCAGCAAAGGCTGATTGCTTCGTGCTGTTGCACAACTGTACTTTATGTATGCACTTTATTAGGATTCTTATACATGTCAGGCTCCAGGAGAGCCAGCTTACATGCAGCAAAAGGATATTTGATTGCTTTCATTATAAACACATCATCCTTCATCAGAGTACAATTGCACAACTATATTTATAATGATAAGTACTCATAAGGATTCTTTTGCATTGAGAGCTCCAGGAGCGATTGCTTGCATGCTCCAGAGGAAGCAGTGGAAGGATAATTTATTGCTTACATTAATAAATACTTTATCACATTACTATTGCACTTTATAAATACATTGCAATTAATATTATGGTGACATTGCAAAAGTAAAAATTCCAAAGTAAATCAGTGTTGTCCACATGTTAGTGACCCCTTAATATTGTGATTTTATATATCATATTAGTGATTTTATTAACTGAGCATATTGTCACTGTGTTTTTAAAGGGCCACTAGGCTTAATTATAAGGTGGTTTACAAGAAATGTTAGAAGCCTTTAATTGTTTGAGATAAAGGTGGTTTTATCATTTTTTACTTTAATTAGCCTACAGATTACACAGACAATACTGTGCCAAGTGCCTGCATGTCTGTATAAGTCTGCCCGCCTTCACATAGAGATCTGTGACAGGTATTTTCATCCCTTATGCATACAGTAACTTGTATTTTAGGGCTACTGGCCTTCTCAGTACACAATGGAGTCAAAGGAATAGAAACTGTTCACTTTTAAAGTAGATTGTTTTTATTTAGCTTAGTGAATAAGGGGAAGCTATCTTTACTTCCATTGTCCAATCATGTACCAGCAAAAAAAAATGGTATTTAAATTTCTCCCTAACACTAGTGAACACAGCTTTGCCTTATTTACTAAATGGTCATACACTTTCCAAAATGAACATTTACTTTTCTAAGTGATCAGTCTCTATTCCTATAGCTAACCATCCCAGGTTGCACAGAGTCTGTGCTGGGGTGGTTGTGTTGTGCCAGTTGTTTCCATGGAAAGTGCAGGATTGTGTGAAGCAATGAGATTATAAAAGCCTCGTATAGACTCACTTGCTGTCTGTCTGTGCCATGCAGAGCAAGCCTATGGAGAAGTGAACCAGCTGGGCGGCGTGTTTGTGAACGGGAGACCTCTGCCCAATGCCATCCGACTGAGGATAGTGGAGCTGGCCCAGCTTGGCATCAGACCGTGTGACATCAGCAGGCAGCTCCGAGTATCCCATGGATGTGTCAGTAAAATTCTGGCCAGATACAACGAGACAGGCTCCATCCTCCCCGGGGCTATTGGAGGCAGCAAGCCCAGAGTGACCACCCCGAACGTGGTGAAGCACATCAGGGAGTACAAACAAGGGGACCCGGGCATCTTCGCATGGGAGATCAGGGACAGGTTGCTGGCTGACAACGTGTGTGACAAGTACAATGTGCCCTCTGTCAGCTCTATAAGCCGGATCCTGAGGAATAAAATTGGGAACCTGTCTCAGCCCAGCCAGTATGACAATGTCAAGCAGCAATCATCGCAGCCAACTATACCATACAATCACCTATACCAGTACCCCTATCCCAACCCAATATCCCCCGGATCCACTAAGGTGGGAAGCCATCATCCAGGAGTGCATATGCCAACGGGACATGTCAGCATAGCCAGGTCCTGGCCATCAGCTCACTCGGTCAATAACATTCTGGGACTTCGCACCTTTATGGAACAAACAGGTGAGTCTGCGGAAAATACCAGTAGACTGGCTGACAACAGACTATCTGTCATGGGTGACTTGTTCATGACTCTGCAAAAAGAAAAAAACTTGTGTCCTCTATATGTGCCTATAAATGTGTGTGTACATCTATCTATCTATCTATCTATCTATCTATCTATCTATCTACTATCTATCAATCCATCTATCAATCATTCTATCATTCCATCTATCATTATCTATCTATCTATCTATCTATCTATCTATCTATCTATCTACCATCCTACTATCTACCTGTCTATCTAGCTATGTATCTATTTATCTATCAATCACATATTTACCTATTTATCTATCTATCTATCTATCTATCATCCTACTATCTATCTATCTATCATCCTACTATCTATCTATCTATCTATCTATCTATCTATCTATCTATCTATCTATCTATCATCCTACTATCTACCTGTCTATCTAGCTATTTATCTATTTATTTATCAATCACATATTTACCTATCTATCTATCTATCTATCTATCTATCTATCTATCTATCTACCATCCTACTATCTACCTGTCTATCTAGCTATGTATCTATTTATCTATCAATCACATATTTACCTATTTATCTATCTATCTATCTATCTATCATCCTACTATCTATCTATCTATCATCCTACTATCTATCTATCTATCTATCTATCTATCTATCTATCTATCTATCATCCTACTATCTATCTATCTATCATCCTACTATCTATCTGTCTATCTATCATCCTACTATTTATCTATCTATTTATCTACCATTCTCCCATCTATCTATCTATCTATCTATCTAACTATCTATCATCCTTCTATCTATCTATCTATCTATCTATCTATCTATTTATCTATCTATCTATCTATCTATCTATCTATCTATCTATCTATCTATCTATCTATCTATCTATCAATCAGAATATACACACGTATCTAGATAGGTCGATTTACTAATGAAATAGAATTACAGAATTAATGTTCACTTAGCTTGGTGAATAAGATGAATCTGCATTCTATTCAATTATCCATTGATGTGCATGTAAAAGTACAGTCAGTTAAGTGAAGTACAGTTAAGTGAAAACATAACTTAAGTGAACGGCCTCTATTACGTTCATGAATGAGATGAGAATGTGTGTGTCTTCCCACAAAGGAAATACTAGAGGGATAATTAGGGAAGGAGTAGAAAATTTTTTCATCCCTTGGTGGATAAAGAGATGCTGTGTTCACTTCAATTATCTTATCATGTGCAATTTTGTTTTCTTACATTTCACGAATAATGAACGGGTATTGAAAGTGACCACAACATCACTTTATTCCCCGAGGCAACATTGTATACTCCTTTAGTAAGTTAACCCTATAGGGTATTCTTTTTGTGTAAACACACATACAAACACACACACACACACACACTTACATATATATCTGTAACACACACATATCTGGAGTGTTACAGCACTCTGTGTTCAGTTTGTTAAATATTCATAATTGTCCTTTTTATTCCAAGCATGTGATCAGTAGAGGTAAAATTGCAGGTATTACAGGGAAGGTGGAACACTACAGTTTCTTGTCAAATATTTGCATGATGATGAGAGATAAGATGCCATAGTGTCCCAGCTAATGGCATCTCCATTTGTTAGTATTAGCTGAGAGAAAAAAAATACTTTAAGCTGTATAATTATAATGATGACATGTAAAAATATAATTATGAAATAAGTTAATATGAATTGTCTCAAGAGAAAAACATCAGTATTAGTAAAACATCGCGAAATAAAAAAAAACAAACCAACAACTCCACATTAAACGTAAAATACGCGATATGTAAATAAATACAGAAGCATTGTTTTTATTGTACATGTACAACCGTGAAAATAGGTTCTAGTTTATCAATATCATACTAGAACCATTTAAAAGCTGGAAATCAAGTATTCAATATTAACACTTATTAGAAGTTATAATTGTGTTTTAAATGTAAAAATGTTTTAAAATTATGGATTGACGTTAATAATTAAAATGATAATTGAAATGTATTTATATTGTATTGGCAACATTAAAAAATAAGCTGCTTATATTTGCTGCATTAACGACAGAAGAAATCAAATTGTTATTATGATACATTGAAATGGTGCTCATTTCAATTGCATGTATCATTTTTAAAACGGATTTCCCCTTATTGTATAGATTTTTTTAAGCCTAAATAATTATAAGCATGGTGAAGTTTCATTAATTTATTTCAAAGAAAAATATGGAAAACAAATTCGTTGAATTACATTGTGGATTTATGATTGTGCTGGGTAGTTACAACATCCTCTGCAGATAGATAAAGTTATGTAAATGTAAGTTGCCAACTATGACCTCTGACAGAGGAGTATTAATAACTGACTGTGTATTGATTCAGGTGCTATAGCTGGGCCAGATGGATCTGTCTATTCCCCCAAGATGGAAGAGTGGGAAAGAGTAAACAGGACAGCTTTTCCCAGCAGCCAGAACTTAAATGGTATAGAGAAGAGTGGTGTAGACCCTGACATTAAATACCCACAGGTAAGCAACTACAGCTTGTATATCATAGTGATGTGAGACTGAAACTCACATACTGACATGTAATCTATATGCTGCCCTATAATAAAGAGCCCTATAATATACCAGAATGTTCTACCACTGCAATGTACGATACCATATACAGTCTGTCCTATAGTATACACTCACTGTAAATTATAGTTCACCCCATTATAATAAAATAGAATAACCTGTGTCATACTGCACTTATATTTTACTATGGTGCATTGTTCCTGGTTATTTTAGAATATACTACACAGTACTAAAGAACTGCACGATTTTACATATTCCTACAATATATTTTACTATAATAGGATGAAATGTACTGATGTATAGGTATGCAAAAATGTACTATAGGTATAATGCCCCATACTGCACTTTATTACACTGTGCTATTGGCATGTTCTCTAATTAACTACACCATGAAGTAGTATCCACTGATTTTATAATACTGCATTGTATTATACTCATTAACAACGTACTATACTATACTATACTATACTATACTATACTATACCACCTTACCATACTATTCTAAGGCATTAGCTATGGTACACAATGTCATAGTATAGTATTCCATCGTATATAGTATAATGTAATGTAGTATAACATATGAAGTGGTGCACCTTGACAAAGTATCGTATTTTATTGTATGATATAGTATGATTTATGCTTTGTAGTACACATTGATAGTGTAGTATAGTACAGTAAACGCAGTGCACTGCACATATTATTCTATACTATCTCAATATGTATACACCTCAGTATGCTATGTCATAATGTAGCACATTCCATATACTTTACTATATGATGCTATACTATATAGTGTACTCACTCCCACTGAATATACTATGCTATGTAATTCTGTGTATTCCAAACTATGTTCTACTATACTGTACTACTATATTATGTAATTTTGTACCACACTTCATATAGTATACATGTCATTATATGTGACACAACATATACTCCACTATGCCATGATGTATTATATTTTGCTATACACTTATGTTTTGTTCTACCATACTATACTATTGCACTGTACTATCCTATACTGTATTAAACTGTATTTCCCATGTCATACAGTTTTACACTGTCCTATGCTGTTTCCTCTCTAATTGCAATACATTCTGTATAATGTTAAATTCATTGTCTATCTGATATACCTGGAAGACAGGTGAGATTTATGGCAGAAGCTGCAATGTGCTAATGGCATTTCCATATTGTGTCTGTGCTGCAGCCTGCTTCCAGCCTCTCCACCGTGGGCAGCTTCGTCCAAGCCTGCGCCTACCCCTCCAGCCAACAGTATGGGGTGTACGGGGGCCCCGGAGCCGGCTATGTCACCCCGGGACACCATTGGCAAGCACAAGGCAGCCCCCTGGCTCATCACGGTGCAGGCGTGACGGTACATGGAGGAGACCTCGGAGCCCCTATGACATTCAAGCACCCAGTCAGGGAAGGTATGCAAACAGCATGAAAAATGAAAGCACTGTCTCAGCTCCATAGGGAGAGCGGCTGGCTGGGGGGCAGGGGGAAAGAGAAAATAAATAGCACGGCTTTCTACATAGGGAGCAACCCAACGATCTGCTCTCTGGATGGCCCCTTTTATGAGCTTAACAATTTATTTTTTGATGCATGCGGGTCTTCCTTTCAGGGCAAAGATTTATAGATTGCAGTTTTCACTGACGTTACCAAAACAAATCCCCTGTTTTTATGTTCTCCTGGCGGATTTTTCCTTCTTGGAAATTCCACGTATTGTCGAGGAGAGGTGGTGAGAGAGTGGAAGATGTGACG